CTCCCACCTCTTTTCCCAAAAAAGCAGCCAATCTTCTGAGACCTTATAAAGCAGGGAGGGCCTTGCTCATTGTTCAAATTCGTGAAGATAGTGAGACATTCTGGCAAGAGAATGGATTCTGGTATTCAAATCCCACAACTGTCGCTCACTAAGTTACTGTGTGATTTTGGACAAGTTACTTAGCCTCTTTAAGCCCGGGTTTGCATTTGTAAATTTGTAAATGGGTTAATGATATTATGACCTTATATGATTCTTGCCAGTATTCCAAGGTCACTTAGCTGTCAGCAATGCACGCACCTCATGATGTGTGCATCATATGAACATTTGCCCTTTGCCATGGGACAATCTGACAGGTGTCTGAATTGCTGGGCTAGCCTAAGACCTGCGAACCATGGGTCTGGCTGCAGAAGCATCTCTGTGGCCTACCTCATCTCTCTTTGTTGTCTCACAGCTTGTCATCCACCAGAGCAATTTAGATCGACGCTATCTGAGGAAGTGCCAATGGCTGTTTAAGGGTTAAAGTATGGGTACTCCTCCCAGAATTCTTCTTGCATTTCCCAAGGCCTGTTTTTCCAGTCCTCTTTAGGCAAGGAAGCAACAGCTGTGCACCCTCTAGAGTGCCAATGAATGGCCAGCATTTGTCTGTAGCTTCCAGAACATTGGAATGTCCCTTAAATGGTACATTAGTTACAGTTCCAGGGATGGGGCTGGGAACTGAGGAGGAGCAATGGGAGATGGGCGTGGTTTAGAGCCTCACACCTGCTCTTCCTAATTCCAGGAAATAGAGCTGGCTACTGGCTGAATTGACAGTACTGACTGTGAAACAGACCATTTTTAGCCAAAAGGGCCATTGGAAGGAATGGCCATCGACTTCAACAACCCAGACCCTTGGCAGCAGGGGACTAATACTTCATTCATGGCACCCACTGTCTTTTTTTAAATTTCCTCTTATGGATTGACTGAGTTAGGAACCAGCAGCTGCTTTCTTTTTTCTGGGCTGTGCAGAATGTGGCAAGGATGAATTTTACTACCCACAAAAGCTCCTGAGGAGAAGACTCCGCAGTAATAGTTCAAGAAGTGAGTAGTACCCTGGGAAGGGAGTTCTGGGCAATTTGTGAAGTAAAAATGGTGGCAGCATGTGATATAAATAGAAAGAACTAAGATATGAAATTCTATCAATGATCGATCAGCAAGGAAACTCAACCTTACTCCCTAGCAATGATGTCTTTAAAACCAAGTTTTCTGTGTCTACCATAGAAGTATAAAGCACTCACAAGCTGGGGTCTGGACAGGCTTCTGGGCTCTCCTTCTTGGTCACTGGTAAGTGAACCGATAAAGCTTTAGTAAGCCATGGTCCCCTAGGGTAGCAGGGCCTTGGTCTCATATCCTAGAAATAGCCTTCTACATATTCCTTTCAACCTTATGGTTTTCATTCTATATTGGAGTCTTATGCCATTAGAGAGGCAAAGCAGAATCTCCCACCTTCCTAATTGGCATGTGGGGGACTATGAGGGAATAAATGATGAGCCTATAGTCACATGCATAGAAAGTGACAGGACTGGAACGTGAAAAAAATTCCTGTTGTCTTTCAACTCATTCTCAGTGTTATTTTAGACTGCATATTGAGACTAGCAGCCTTCAGCCACGCATTCATTCTGATTCATCTATTTAGTGGCTTTTATAATGGATCTGATTAGTCCTCAGTCCAGGGATGTCATCAGCTATTGGTGTGTTTCTGTGAACTATTAAGAGAAATCTGTAACAAACTCATCCAGTGTGCAGCTGAGGAGCTCTGGATACCACATCAAAAGCTAAGGACAGCAGACTGGGGCATTGGAATGAATGGGACTCACTCCGACTCTGACCTGTTCGGGCCAGAGACATCCTTTTCTCCGGGTCCCACAGGTATTCAGTCACGATCTGTAATTTCCGCCACCAGGCATTGCCTGTGGGCTGACCCTGACCTTCTTCCTCCCTTTCTTCCTCCTCCTCCTCTTTTCCTTCCTCCTCTTCTTCCTCTTCCTCCAGACCAGGCACCGTCATCACCTGAGCCTCTTCTTCTGCTTCCTCCTCCTCATCTGCTAAGTAGTTCTGATTCACTTCATCCTGATCATCCTGGAGCAGTGACAAAACACAAACCTCTCTGTGAAAAAAAAAATCCCAATGGCATATCCCACCAGCCAAAACTAAATGGAAACAACTCAATATTTGGAGGTATTTCAAATTTTCACATCCCCAGAAAAATACCCATTGTTGCAAGAGGTGGATTTTTCTTTCTCCTTTCTTTTGGAGGAAGTATCCTTTCTGCAGCCCATTGCGAATTATTCCCACAGTCGTG